ACGACTAGACAACAACAACAAGACACCGCTGCTATGGAAATTGTCAAGACCTCGATAAGACCTGATTGTAGTTCCCAACTAAGAGTAGAAACTCATATTTTTGGGACAATTTTCTGATTTTATACAATAGGAAAACAAGATATTGACTACAAGGAATCGAAAATTGAACTACTCCTTGATAACTAAATAAATCGGCATCCATAGTGAATCTCAAATCTGTAGAAAAAAGAAGATAAGATCTTGAATTAGAAGAGAGAAGAAGAACAGAAGAGAGAGTGTACGAGGAAGAGGAGGAAGATTTACCTATGTGATTCCTCCCTTCTAGGACGTTATATAACTATTGTTGCTGACCACTTTAATAACTCGTGATTTTAGCTATTAAATGTGGACTACATTATTATTCCACAATCCGACTTCGATTCCCACTTCCGATATTCCTTTATTTGCCTAATTAATTTAATTGAACTGGATTATTACATACCCTCATCCATTAGTTCATCCCTGACCTCAAGGAGGTGAATCAAAAGTTGGAAATTTTGTCCTTGAGGAAGCTGTAATGAGTTTTTGGCTAAAATCATCCTTCAACTATTACTCAAATCAAATGTACACCATTATATTATCTAAGTGAGCAAAAACTATCCTCATACTATCCAAAAAATAACAAGAATCATCCCTCATTCTATTTTTATTAAGAAACTGATTGAAGTAATAAAAAAAAATTTAAAAAAAATTTGGTCACGTCTTAGCCACAAAAAAAAAGATCAAAGTTATAACCTAAAAAGAATAAGGACATGGATAGGAAATGTTTCTTGAATTTAAATTTCACGTGTTGTTAGTTTATCGAGTATGTGTTTTTGCATCATCAAGTAAATTGACTTGCACTAATACATAAGTTTGAAATATATATACAGTACGTTCCAAAGGTTAGAAAGATTGTGTAAAAAATCATTTCAAATATATTACATCCAACTATTTAGAGATTCTCTTTAGTAAAATATCGAGGGATATATAATGTATATACAATGTTCACATTTTATACAATGTATAGAAATGCTGAAAATTTAGTGAAATTATTTAGGTGTTTAGTTATTAAAATAAAACTAATTTGTCACGATCAAAAAATATATGTGATGGCACTCGTGTTATCCCACCAAGACAAGTCAGCCTAAAACTCAAATATTACAATAAAATTCAAAAATTTTACTAACAACTTACATTATACCCCAAAACCTGGTGGTCACATGTACAAGCCTCTAAAGTATTACAATTGAATCAAGAGAAAATATATGTCTCAAATGAACTTTTTTCTAGAATATAACAAGATCAAAACTATGAAGAAAGAGAGTACTCTGAGACGACAAACAACTATCTCACAAATCTCCGAGAATCCTCAAAAAAGAAGAGAATGACAAGTACAACAAAAATCAAGGCTTAATAGCCTACAAAAAAATTGTAGAAGCAAGGGGTGAGTACCAAATCACACGGTACTCAGCAAGTAAACCTCTAAACACAATCTAAGAGGATGAAATACGGGTACTCCTACCAACCCAACCGAACCTCCACCACTACAACCTGCATAAAAATCAGCCCAACCTAACAACTCACGGTTTAAGCGCACATAGTTCAACAAAAACACTTAAACAAATTACATATCCGCAACAACAACACTTTGACAAATTACATGTTCTCAACAATAACACTTGAACAAATTACATGTCCTCAATAACGATACTTTAACAAATTACATATCCTCAACAAAGCTACTTTAACAAATTACATATCCTCAACAACAATCTCAGTATTCATCAATCACCAATTCAACAGAAACACATTCACAAAATCAGCAAAACATAATATCAAGTTCACTAATGATAAGTATGTGCAATGCAATGAAATGTAATGTCAAGTATAATGATGCATACCTGACCTAGTGATACACACCCGCTGTCTCTCAGTCCCGGACCCACGGGGGCGTATCTGTTCATGCATCTATTGTGGCACACGACACGACCCTCGATAATAGTAACCATCGCGGCATGCGATACGTCAGTCAAAATATAGTATCCATCACAGCGCGCGATATGTCCCTCGAAATGTTACATCCTCTTTAAGTTCTCATTCTTTCTTAATGCACATAACACTTTTCACAACCATGTCTCCAAATAATGCAAATGACATGTTCACACAAATACAGAGGATATTACCATTTTCATAACATTGCACATTTCACAAAAATATCAGCAGTGATTCAACAAGTCTTTCAAACCATTCTCCATTATCAACAAATCATACACAACCCATTATTCACATCGTCTTTATTACCCTTTGTTTTCATAGTTAGAATTATTCAATGTGGAAAAGTCATCCCATCACCAAGTCCTACTGCTCCCAAATATATACCACAACGAAATACATGTATTCCAGACACTTAACAAGGGTTTAGAAATCCACTTGCCTTAAATACTCGAACAATCACTCTGGGACTTGATCCTTTCCTTTTTGTTGAACTTCAAACTCAAAGCAATCTATTAATACAAGTAATCACACTATGATTTTGGAATTAACAACACTCATATCACTATGTGTCTAGTTTAGACCCAAAAACTTACCCGATTCTATAATCAAGTTCTTATGTCTTGGTGCCAATTAGCTTGTCAACTCTCATGTTTTTCAAATTTCAAACTTAGGGTAAAATTTGCATTTCTCCAAATATCTAGAAAATTATTATGAAATAATGAAACAATAACACATCAACTTATTATAGTCAACAATACCCAGATTCTATGCACCCTAAAATATTCCAAATAATTAGAACACCCATGACCGAAAAATTAAAGCATAGATACCGATCATAATTGTTTGTTACATTTCAAATCAACATTTTCATAACATCAATCAATATGTATAATCACTTCCATCCTTAAAATTGTATGATTTTCGTATTTTTTTACAAAAAAATTGTTCATGTATTCACTGACAACATTGTCACTTTTTAATTCTCTTTTTAGTTTCAGTTACAATAATAATATAATAATACTAACAAGGATAAACTACCACCCACATCTACTAAATCGGTTATTCGAACTTCTTCATAATAAAATAATAATTTAGTATATAATAAACTCCATTCATAATCACAAGTTCATATATTAACATAAATGATACAGGGTTTCAACCTAAAATCTACTCCTGATTATATTAAAAATTAATATAAAGGATAACAATAATTATCTTAACGCCTTAAGATGAGCCTATTAAATTTTCTCCTCCTTTTTTTTTTCTTTTTCTCCCTTCCATTTCTTTTCTTCTCCTGCTTATTTTTTGTTTTTGTTTCTGTTCGTTCTTTTTCCTCAACGTAGCCGCCTGAGGCTTTTAACCTTTAAGGTCACTATTCTCTTTTATTATTATTATTATGTTATTTATTTATTTTCTTTTCTTTTTTCTTTTTCCATTATTATTAGCAACAAAATAATCCTTTATTAAACCTGAGAATCATGTCAGTCCCTCTTATAAGTCATAAATTATTTATAAAAATTATTAAAAAGGGGTTAACTCAGAAAATGGGTAAAATTTATAAAATGATTAAGAGGATTGTTACATTATCCACCACTAAAATACATGTTCGTCCTCTAACATTGAGAAGAAGAACAAGGAAGAATAACCAACATGACTAAAAACATGAGGTATGATTTTTAAAGTCGTGCTCATCTCTCCAAGCAAGTTCCTTCTTAAAACTATTTCATCAAGATCAACTACTAACAAAAGAACATTCAAATAAAACTTTGGAATATCAATATATATCAAGAGTTACTATCAAGCCACAAACTAACCCATGAACTCAATCTAAATTGAAACCTATTAGACGATAACACTACCACCATGACGAGTCTTTTCTTGTATAACAAAGCTAACATTGTGAATCGATACCGGCTACGACCAGAAGTGAACTATAATAAACCACCACACTCAAAATGCACAACCATCACATATTTCATCAAGATTTCATTTTCACAACACAATCTTTCAATGAACTTAAGTTATAAAAATATGATCTTTAGACATCGGATACTCACCCAAAGGGGATCAAACATATCTAACCCAATGAAAGAAATGATTAAGTAAACATCCAAAAATATGATACACTCCAAAATGCAGAATCTCTAACAATACTTTTAGAAAATTGTAACTCTTCATATATGGTAGCTCTTATATAAGTTCTTATAAGCAAGATTGTGCGTATAGAATCACTACTATACTTGAGCTATCCCAAACAACACAAGATCTCCCAGAATGAACAAGTCTAACCAAGGGTGCCATCTTACAAGGAGGACACTCATAGGATCGGTACACCCGATCCACCATAAGGAATTCAACAATTAATATGAAAACATGTGTAGGTATAGAGCGAATAACAATCCAAATCATATCCAAAACAAAGTAGATGGTCATATTAAAATATACAGAACCACAGTCGAATAACACTAGATTCTTCTCCCATAGTGACCATACCAAACATTTTCTTTCATATGACTCCATCTCTTTAATATTCTAGTTATCGACAATCACCAATATAGTCCCGATTATTGTTTAATAAAAAAATAGAAAAAACATTTATATTTTATAATTTTTCAACTTTTTTAGATTCTCCACTTAATTTTTGAGAAAAATCAATAAAACCTTTATTTTCAAAAGACTTAATAGAAAAATCATTTGAAAATACTTTAAGGTAGGGTTCAGAGATACTTATTAGCATCTTAGGAAGGTTTATAAAGCACCTAAGATATCGACTTACTTACTGTTATCATACAACTAACTTATTTGGCTAAAAATCATCTAACTTAAATGTGATAAAAATATTTCTAAGAATTGCTTCAGAATGAATGCTAAAGTCATTTAAGATTGTTTGAAAGTGAAATAATAATTATCTAAGTAAATTTAATTTTGTAAAAATTTTAGAGCTATGTACTTGATTTAACTGAGTCGTTAAAACAAATGTGGCATTTTGCGGGGATCGGAATTCTTTAACCCTAAAACCAACCGACAATTAAATAACAAATAATTAGAAGCATATAAAGAGAGAGATAGAGAAAGAGAGAGTTTTGGGCCCAAATTTGGGTTTTTTGTACGCCTGGATCCGTATTTGGACCCGTTTCGCATTTGAGACTTAGGCCCATTGTACCTGTACTAAACTAGCAAAATAATAGTAATACAACAGACAAGGGCTTAGGCCCAAAGCTAACAAAATACAATATAAAGATAAAGAAAATAAAATAATAATAAAAATTGACTATTTTTCCCTATTTCTTCAACTTCTTGATTTGCGCGCATTCTTCAAGTTTGACACTTGTTTGCCTTTTCTAAGGGTTAACTCGAAAGTAAGAAATTAAGCCTTTACGATTTTGTCGAAATGCAAGGGAAGGGTTAAAATCCATGGCGGATTCTAACAAATTACATGCCAAGCATAAATAAAATCATATTAGTACGGGAAGAGGAAAAACTCTAATACACCTCTATGAAATAAAATTAATAGCATTAGAGTGACCAATAACATAGTATAACAGATCATGGTAAAGTTATAATGGACATAATCTATCAACTTTTGATGATTTTAACAATTACTCTGGCTACCGTGAGAAGAATGAGCAAAGCTATTTTGTGCCACATTCATAAATTATATTAACAACGTAATATTGTAGGGAAATATGACATATAAGTCACGAAGATTCCATTTCATCTTTTGAGATTCAATAAAAGGGCAGCAACTCTAGCAAATGTTTCAACAATTTTCAGTACAAATTTCACAAACTAATTGCCTGCACTTAAAACTTGAAAGCAATGCATTATTTGAATACAAACCAATTGAAGTAGGCTTTTATCAAATTCTTACTTAAAAGAAATCACATTCCATCCCAAAATAATCATATTTCTATGCAAATAAAAGGGGTTATCAAATAACCTTGAAGAGGCAGTGAAAAAAATCAGCACCCAACAACACGGTTTTTACATAGTGAAGCAACTAACATAGATAACAACATCACCAAGGCATAGAGAACACATTAGCAGAAATCGGTAAAACGTATAGATATGTAGAAAAATCAGAACGAGGGTATCAATTAAAGAAACTTCCCGCTATGGTATGAATCTTTACCCACATCAATATGGATAAAAGCCAACTAAAATGAGTTCAAAAAAAGAAAGCAAAGGCAACGAGATTCAACACTAGATCGAAACAAGGACATGTGCACAGATAGAGAAGATCAAAAAAAATAAAAGGGAGGAAAAATGGACTTAAGACGAGTATAAATAGTTTTCAAAATAAAAAAACAGAATGCAGCCGTGAAAAAAAAAAGAACTTGGAAAATACAAAAGGAAAATAACGATTTTTAAAGCTAGAGAAAACAGTTTTGAGACATACACCACCACTTTCATATTTCGCCCATATTCCCAAATAAATCACTCTATAAGAACGACATGGTAACACTTAAAATCCATCATAAACCAAACTCAATAGTAGAGGTAGCATTTGATCCTTATAGAGCAAAATTAACAGAACCTCGTATTCTGCTCAATCCCCCATAGACGTTTGAAGACGAATAACTCACATGGAAAGAAAAAAAACACACTTCATGCTTCAATCTAAAAAAATTACTCTATCCAAAACCATACGCTATTTCATTAATCATCATTTAGTCAGAGGAGACAGACAAGGATGAAATAGAAGAAAACAAATCAACCGATTGTCTCAAACTTACGGAAGAAGAAGCACTCGATAAGACGAGTGAGGTAAGAAAAATTTCACTTTTTTCAGGGCAACAAATGGGGTTCAAATGAGCTGGAATAGGCAGCGACTTCCATTCCACAAAACTTGAACACAAATTACCGACGTGAACAATGAACAAAAATTTTGAGTCGACCTGGAACTCTAGGCTTTTTTTTTTAAATCGATACTAAAAGATCTTTTTCAACTTTTATCTGTGAATTTTGAATATCTTTCTTTTTTATTTGTTCTTCTCTACTGACCAGAGGAAATTTTTTAAAAAAATCTTCTTTTTACTCAACCAAAAATATCCTCGACCAAAAAAAATCCCCGTTACAAATGACAAAGAGAATATATATATAGGGACAGATTAGGTTTAGGAAAATGGGGGGGAGGGGCAAAATTTCCATTTCGAAAAATTCCAAACTCCCCAAAAATCTTTCATAAAATGGGTGAACAAACTTTTCTGAGGCTCCTGACCCATTCCAAAAGGGGAAAGGGGAAAGGGGAAAATCGACGACCGAAATTTATCCCATCGTCCTTGACAAGCGATGTGGCTCAATCTCCAGCATTCATGGGACAATTTGGCGTGCTTTCCTGGCTGAGTGCAGAGAGATTCGGCTAAAGTCGAACCATACCAAAAAGGAGAAAGAGACGTTGAGTATTTCCCTTCGGTTACACTCACTCATGTTCCTCACGGGTCTCGTGAAGAGAAGAAAAATGAGAGTACTACTGATGCATGTGTCCAACGTGAAGAGGGGGGCCGGATTTGACGCGCTGAATTTTGACGCGTTTTGTTGCTACTACGCTCTGATTTTTCTCTTTGGAGAAGAAGACAATGATTTTAGACTGGGTTAAAGGTAAAGACGTGGGCTGGAATATTGGGTTGGTTGAATTGGAGAAATGAATTTATTTAAAATGTCCTGCAGGATGATTTAAGAAATATATTAATAGTATCACCTTTTCTCAAAGTAACTGTGCATTCTTTGTGATGGAATTAATTGTCCATGTTTAGATAAAATTTGATAATTATTTTATAATAAAATATAAGTTAATTGTATCGTGTTTAAAGAATGATAGGATAGTTGTTTTTTTGTAGCGATTTAAGCTACTGACTTGTCATTTTCTTTAGGGTCCTTATTTTAGTGTATTATATTATATGAAAGCTATTAGGTTTGTAGTGTTTGGAGGAATTACGACTTAACTCTAGGTTTGAATTTGAGAGATATGAGAGTTGAAATATTAATTGACATTAAGATTAGGAACATGATTATAAATTCGGGGTGACTTATTGACAAGACACATAATAATATGGGTGTTTTTAGTTTTGAAATCTTATTGTGGTTAATTATTTGACTAGATTGGTTTGAGTTGGAAGTTCAACAAATGGGAAAGGCTCAAGTCACGAAGTAAATTCTTATTGGATTCAGGCAATTGAATTTCTAAACTCTTGTTAAGTGTATGGAATGCGTGTATCTCCTTATGTTATATGTTTGGGAGTAACGGGATTGGTGATGGGTTGACTTGTCCACATTGATTAATTCTAATGATGAAAAAAAAAGGAATAACAAAAAACAATGTGATTAATTGTTTATGTGTGATGTGTTGAGAAAGGTTTGATGGCTTGTTGAATCATTGTTGATGTGATTTCATGTTTGTGTGGTTGTGAACTGTGCAATGTTATGAAAATTGTCATCTCCTCATTATTTGTGTGAACATGTCATTTGCATTATTCTAAGACATGGTTGTGAAAGTGTTATGTGCATTGAGAAAGAATGATAACTTAAAGAGGATGTACCATATCGAGGGACGTATCGCGCGCCGCGATGGATACTATATTTCGAGGGACGTATCGCGCGCCGCGATGGTTACTATTATCGAGGGTCCTGTCGTGCGCCGCGACAGATGCATGGATAGATATGTCCCCCATGGGTCCCGGACTGAGAGACAGTGGATGTGTATCACTAGGTCAGACATGCATCATTATCCTTGACATTGCATTCCAATGCATTGCACATACTTATCATTAGTGAACTTGATATCGTGTTTTGCTAATCTTCTGATTGCCTTTCTGCGGAACTTATGATTGATCAATATTGATCTTGTTATTGCGGATATATAATTTGTTGATGTGTTGTTGTTGAGGATGTGTAATTTGATAAAATGTTGTTGTTGAGGATATGTAATTTGTCTAAGTGTTGTTGTTGAGCTACGTGCTATGTAAACTGTGAGCTGTTAGGTTGGGTTGATTTTACTGCAGGATCTAGTTGTGGAGGTTCGTTTGGGGGTGGTAGGAGTACCCGTATTTCATCCCCTTAGCTTGTGTTTAGGGGTTTACATGCTGAGTACCGTGTGGTTTGGTACTCACCCCTTGCTTTTACAAATTTTTGTAGGTTATGAGCGTGGATTTTTGTTGTATTTGTCATTCTCTTCTTTTCTGAGGCTTCTTGGAGATTTGTGAGGTAGTTGTTTCCATCTCAACAGACTTTCTTCTCCATAATTATGACCTTGTTCTATTCTAGAAACAAGTTTATTTGAGACTTGAGTTTTTCTTTTGAATCAATTGTAATACTTTAGAGGCTTGTACACGTGACTACCAGGTTTTGGGGTTTTTATTAAGTTACTTATATTTTATTTCCGCACTTTATTGTAATAGTTGAGTTTTACGCTGACTTGTCTTGGTGGGATAAGACGAGTGCCATCACGTCCATTTTTGGGTCGTGACAACTTCTCAGCTTAACACATTAATATCGTATCAACGATCCACCACTAACATCATTCTTATAAATAATGCTTAACTCATTCGTTCATAGTATCAAGATAGTTGGTTTGTTAAACATGAATGCATCATCAAATCTTATTATATGAGAATGTGATACAATGGAAAACTCTTTAAGTAGTTTGTAATCTCACTTGACATCAACATATCCATTTTCATGTACCATTATTATCACCTTGTGAAGTCTGTTAAATCCACAATTAGAACAAACCATACCTATCGAGAAGTAGCCAAATAGCCTACACATTCTTGTACCATTAAGTATCTAATATACACTATCCAATATGTTCGGTGTCTCATCTAAAACAATATGTGTCCCTTTGTAGATCAAGTCAATAAAAAGAGTAACACATTATCTAACTCTAAACAAGTAAGAATAGTACCATTATAGTAGTCGTATTTGTAGATCAACTTAATAACAACAGTAACACATTATCTAACTCTAAACAAGTAAGAATAGTACCATTATAGTAGTCGTATTATGAACCCTTTTTATATACTCTCAATCTATCACAGATATCCTAATCTTGATTGGCACAACATCATTCTCTACGCAACAATATATGTTATGACAATTATATAAACTGTAGTTTTCAAAGTGACACTGTTCATTTCCTATCCATCCTTTTAATCATTCAACTTCCAATTATCAAACTAATCAAGTTATTGACAATACCCCGCAAGTATTATTTTTTGTATCTAAATAACTATTCCAAAAAATATAACGTGTTCATGAAGAACTATTCAACCTCATCATTTAAATATCCTCAAAATGATTCGTCAAGTCATCACCTAACTCCACCTTTTCAAATCATTGAACTTTCTAAATCTGACCAGAAATCATCTCCAAAGTGATATCACTCCAACAGTAGTACCATATCTGACATTCAAGCCATACGCAACACAAACTACTAATATGAGAACTACACATGAGTCATTACATAAATGAGTTTGAATGGGGTAAAGCGATAAGAATCAACTCAGACCAAGTACTCACCATATCGATTCAAGAAGTGAAAGATTTTTCCTAAAAGTCACTATAGCCTTTCGTTGATAAGTACAGACGTCTATGTATCGATCCTCGATAATCTACTTAGACTCGGCTTGTATACACGTGAGACCTATGAACCTGGGGCTCTGATACCTTTTGGTCCATAAATCGCAATTTACAACAACGAATACAACACCAACAAATCAGCAACAAGTCTCCAAGTCATTTTCAACAACAACTCAATATTCATCAATCACAATTTTCACAGAGAAATACTCACATCCTGTCGAGTCAATCTAGTCAATGGAGCTGCAATAATAAAGAAACTCTGAACAAATCGTTAATAATAGTCTGTCAATCCTACAAAACTCCAAATCTCAACAGGTGAAGTAGGTCCCGTCCAACCTCTAACTTCATCAATCTTGGCCTTATTTACTCTAATACCCTCCTTGGACACCACGTGACCCAAGAATGCTACAAAAGTAAGCCAGAACTCACACTTTAAGAACTTGACATACAACTCCTCTTATCTCAACCTCTGAAGTACAATCCCCAAGTGTCGAACATGATCATCCTTAGTTTTTGAGTAAACCAAGATGTCATAGATGAAAACAATCACAAAAGAATCAAGGTATGGTCAAAAACACCCCATTCATCAACTTCAAGAATGATGCAGGGGCATTAGTCAATCCAAAGGACATCACTAGGAACTCATAATGCCCATACCGTGTCCGAAAAGTTGTCTTAGGGATATTTGATGCCCTAATTTTCAACTGATGATACCTAGACCTCAAGTCACTCGTAGAGAACAATGATGCTCCATGTATTGTTTGTAAAGAAGAAGGATGGGACTATGAGGATGTGTATTGATTACAGACATTTGAAAAAGGTAACGGTGAAAAATATTCTAAATAACACCCTAAAATATTTCAAATAATTAGAATATCCATGACCGAAACTTTAAAGCACAGATACAGTCATAATTGTTTGTTACTTTACCAATTAAATAACATTACTCAATATGTATAATCACTTCCATCATCAAAATTGCATGATCTTCCAATTTTTGTAGAAAAAAAATTGTTTCATGTATACAGTGACAACTTCGTCACTTTTTAATTCCCTTTTTAATTTTTAATTATAATAATAATATAATAATACTAACAAGGATATACTACCACCCACATCTAATGAATCTATTATTCGAACTTCTACCTAATAAAATAATAATTTAGTATATAATGACCTCTATTCAAAATCAGAAGTTCATATATTAACATAAATTATACACGGTTTTAACCTGAATATACTCCTGATTAAATAAAAAAATTAATATGAAGGATAAGAGTAATTACCTTAACGCCTTAGGATGAACCTATCAAATTTTCTCATCTTTTTTCTTTTTGTTTTTCTCCCTTCCTTTTCTTTTCTTTTTCCTGCGTTTTTTTTTTGTTTCTGTTCGTTCTTTTTCTTCAACGTAGCCGCCTGAGGCTTTTAACCTTTTAGGCAACTTTACTCTTTTATTTTTATTATTATTATTATTATTTTATTTATTTATTTTATTTTATTTCTATTTTTTTCCTTTTTCCATTATTATTAGCAACAAAATAGTCCTTTATTAAACCTGAGAATCATGTCAGTCCCTCTTATATCATAAATTATTTATAAAAATTATTAAAAAGGTTTTAACTCAGAAAGTGGGTAAAATTTATAAAATGATTATGAGGGTTGTTACATAATTACAGTATTTGACATAGTTGAAGCTGGAGTAGTTTTTGTTTTTTCCAAAGAATATTTAGAATATGAATATATTTTGTCTGAATATAATTAATAACCTCAATTTTTAAAATTTTAAAAAATTCACCGAATTCGATTAGTTTAACCATGTGTACATATATTCATTTGACTTGACACTTTTTTGTTGGGGCGTGAATTTCTTTAGAAAAATTTACTAAAGGATTAATCTTTCATATTTTTGGATAGTTCAGAGATGTTTTTTGTTCACTTATGTTACATTAGGATATATTTTAGGTTTTGGTCATACTCCACGGATGATTTTAGCCAAAAACTTTAGCTGTAAACTTCCCAAGTAGCATCTTCTGGAGGCAAATTAAACCATTGAACTAAAACTTTCACCTCAACTGTATTGTTCCTCTTGATCATATGTCTTTGTAAGATAGCTATTGGTTGCACAATGAAGTGACTATCCTCTCCAATGCTAGGCAAGGCAGATTGCACAGCTATAGAAGATCCCACCTTCTTCTTGAGCGATGACACATGAAATACTAGATGAACATTAGAGTCAACAGGTAGCTCAAGCTTGTAAGCAACTGACCCGATCTTAGCTAAAATCGTGTAAGATCCATAATACTTGGATGAAAGTTTCAAATGCTTTATTAGTGCCACATATGTTGGTCTATAAGGTTGTAGCTTGTGATAGACCATATCACCAAAGTAGGGTCATCATGTAGGGTATTAACCAAAACTAAAGTTCTTAATGAATGTTGAAAAAAAATTCATTATTAATCTTCCTAATAAGAGATTTATATCGAAGTGTTCATTATTTAAGATGTAAATTAGAAATAAAGGGTGATAAATTTGTTGGTATAAGACATAAGATGGGAGAGAATTCAGGAGTAAATGGAATGAAGAATATGTTAGTGTCTTTTTACTTGTGTCATGGATTTAATTCTAGAAAAATATCATAATTTATAGTTTTTAGAATAATCATGTAACTTACAGAAAATTTAGCAATTTGAAAA